GGGTTGATTTTAGATCGATTTGCGTTACACTACCATGCTTAATATTCCCCATCACAACCGAAAAAACAACGGTCCGTAACCCAACTCAGTAACCGTGGATCCTGGACTCGAATGTCAGGTGATCCACACCTGAGGTTGGGCATGACCAACTGATTATGGTCAGTAAGCCAGAATCGGTCATTCCGGTTTCCCATGTCTTTTTCGGAATTTCATCAGTAATATGTGATACTAGTCGCCATGCAACTGCCTGTGAGGACTAAAGACTGAACCCCAAGACACTAAAAGACGAGCATGTCCCGTAACCTGATCGCTGAGCACCACGCTATCATTATCAGAGCCTTCGTCAGTCGTAAGTGAGATACATCACTGCTACCATTGAAGACTCAGGCGACTACTCAAACCAACCATTTCTCCCTCTACATTTTTCTCGCCCCTCTGTACAGCCCATCCACTCGCATAGGTACATAATTTCGATTTTACTTAGGCTTTTGATCGTGTTGATCATGCTCTTCTTCTCTTGAAACTGTCCTTTTTCGAAATAGGTGGCAAACTTTTGAATTTTATATCTTCTTACTCGGGCGCTCGTACACAAATAGCTAAGATTTCAAATGCTATCTCAAACCCCACATGTGTGATGGGTGAAGTCATTCAGAATAATGTACTGGGCCCGCTATTATTTTGCCATTTTGCTAACGATGTACCATATTTATTTCAGAATGGTAAGCCCTTCATATATGCCGATGATCTGAAAGTCACATACAGGTATAAGCCGACAGATCGTGACATCGTGCTTGAGCTCCTAAAAAGCGACCTACAGGCCTTCTCCCAGTGGTGCCGCACATGGCGCCTTTCTCTTTCTTGGCATAAATTCTCAGTCATGGTGGTTGGCGACGACCGCTAACCTCAACTAAGCATTGACGGTCATGCCATAAATGTGCCAGGGGTTATTAAGGGTCCGGGTGTATCATACTCCAAGAGCCTCAATTTTTTCGGTACACTGTGCCTTGGTAGTCTCCAAAGCATGTGGAATGACCGGGTTTATCCTCTGAAACATTAAAACTAGTGACAGTAGAGTATGCCTTTACAACATGTACGTTAGACCTGGCCTGGAATACTGTTCACTTTTATTTAGCCTCATGCGTGCTGCTGAGCGCAAGAAAATAGAATCCGTCCAACATTTTTTCACCAAGAAAGTTTTAACCCCGGAACACCGACATTCATCTTACCAAGAATGTTATCGGCTTACAGGTCTTGATCCTTTAAGGTTTCGTAGATTACAATAGGGACTATTTTTACTATTTAAGCTTTTACATAGTCGTACCTTTAACCCACTCGCTGCTTTAAGACATCTTGTCCACGCCCGACGTAACAATCACCGTGAGGTCTTTATGTTTCTTCCTCTGGCATATACCGTCAAATATCGTCGGTTCTTTTCTGTAAATGCAATTGTTATTTGGAATAAACTACCCAGGAATGTGAAAACTCTGAAAAATTATCCTTTAAGAGGACTTTTACTCGCTTTTCGCATTCACAAATCTCCCACAAATTTTGGGTGCTGAATCCACTGATCGACTTTACCGTAGCGATGGCGTTTGTGGTCTCTGATCTCTATGGTTGGTCTCACCAGGGACAATTTATTTAGCCAACATCGACAGCTGTTCTTCAATAACAATAATAATAATAATAATAATAATAATAACTTATTTAATGCCAGGTTACGGGCATTGTCAAGGGAAGCGATTAAACACAAATCCGACCAGCAGTGAAAAAAAACTCCTGTGGTAAAGGAATAAAAGTATAGTTAATGGTGGTTTTTATGGTTTGGAGGGTTCAGGAGAAAAAAACTGCTGGTGGTAGACTTTCGACAGCCAACAAGGTGGGGGGGGGGGGGGTTGCACGGTATCGGAGATCATCGGACGTCAATTCCTTTCATGAAGTTGGGGATAGTCAAAGTAGAGGCGTTGAGAAACAGCTGGTGAGACCGGCCATAGTGTTCAGAGACCACAAACGCCATCGCTACGGTACAGTCGATCAGTGGATTCAGCACCCAAAATTTGTGGGAGCTTTTCTGAATGCAAAAACCGAGTAATAGTTCTCTTAAATAAAGGATAATTTTGCAGAGTTTTCACACTCATGGGTAGTTTATTCCAAATAGCAATTGCGTTTACAGAATAAAACCGACGATATTTAACAGTACGTGCCAGAGGCGGAAATAAAAAGACCTCACGGTGACTGTTACGTCGTGAGTGGATATGATGTCTTAAAGAGGTGAGTGGATTAAATGTGTGATTATGTAAGAGTTTAAATAGCAAAAATAGTCCCTTCTGTAATCTAGGGAACCATAAAGGATCAAGGCCCGTAAGCTGGAAACGTTCTTGGTAAGACAAATGTCGGTGTTCCGGGGTTAAAATTCTTTTGGTAAAAAAGTGTTGAACGGATTCTATTTTCTTCCGCTCAGTAGCACGAATGAGGTTAAATAAAAACCAACAGTATTCCAGATCTGGAAAAACGTTTGGACTAGCTACAACTTCATGACAAGAATTGGCGACTGATAATATCCGATACAGTGCTATCTCTCCCTTTCTTGACTGTCGGCATTTCATGGGCAGTAGTTTTTTTCCCCTGAACCCCCCAAACTGTAAAAAACACCACCAACTTTATTTTTATTCCTTTTTGACAGGAGTTTTTTTCACTGCTGGTCGGATTTGCGTTTAACTTTCCCTGACGATGCCTGTTAACCGGCATTAAATAAAATTATTGCTATTTGTTTATTCGCCTACAGCGCGGAAGAATATAATGAATTAATTGTCAGTTTTTTTTAAATTTCGTCTTATTTTGCTTCATGTTTGTTTGCGAAGCAATCGATAGTAATAGGCTAAAAATGCTAGGATGTGAAACAGTGAGGTCTGTTAATGTTAAAGTCCAAGATGGTTGGTTCTCATGTGATATAAAACTCGGAAAAGCACATGAAATGAAAAGCAGCCTTGATGATATAAGCAGTGAACAGTGGAGATCGGTGAATCTTTTGAGGGTTACATCCCCTACACTGGTGAAGTAGGTCTGTAGTACCGCAACATCCTGAGTTGCAAGTGCATGTCACTTAAGGGGTTTGAAAAAGCACTAGATTGTACAATCATCCCGAACCAGTCATACATTTTCGGAGACGACGAACGGAAGTTGTTGGCTACTTGATGCAAACACTGAGCCTCTATGCTTTCGCGGCTTAGACCGAAGTACGTATCCGTTAAACATCCTATTAATCAGAATATGTTGTCTACTATTGATATTCTACAGGAATCCCTAATTAACTACCATTTCGAGTTATAATAAAAGCTTAGGGAAATCATGCAATTTCGGATATCTTTCGTCCGCTAAGCAATCGAATGAAACCTGTTCATATCAACACCAGGGGTCAAATAAGAGACCGCAGAAATTTTCCTTTTGTAAGCAATGGGGCTACGTCAACATGCAATGAGAGCTAAACAACAAAACAGCTCCTAGTTGCTTTGCTCATTGCAATTTTAGAAATTCGGGCTTCTGGATGCCAGTTTCTGCCCTTAGCACGAGTTAGATGTGCGCTCGGCTTTTTTAAGCTAAAGTATGTAAAGAAGAGCACATTTAGGTGCACATGGGAATTTTTCCTAATCTATGTTTTCATATGCAATATGCATGATTATACTGGGTCGCTACTGGTTTTGTCACGGACGAATATTAATTTGATGTTTGAACTCCAGATGATTCAAGTGCACATAATATATTGCTGCTCACTAGGCAACCCTTGATATCACTTGTTAGCACTGCTGCTGCCAAGTGAAAGTTCGACCGTCGTGCTCAACGATGTCCACCGTGTGCTCCACATCAACGTGACGCAGGCACGGTAAGTTGCGCGTGATTTAGACTTGCAGAGTATCTACCGCACTCTCGCCTCACCTCTCCTACCTGGATCGGATGACCGAAAGTAAAGGAGGGCGCAGGTGATTGGCACGGCCGGACCCGCATCTAGGCGTACTACAGCACTTCCTGCTTCACCACAAACATTTAACCAGGATTGTAACCAACAACAGCACCACAAATGGTCATGGAAATGAGGTTGGCTGGGCAGCTACGTTCACGACCTGTGTACCCAGCGGGGGCGCAAGCGCATCTACCGGCAGGGAACCAGGTTCCATAGAACTGCCAGCGCCCACCAGACTGCGCGAACCATTGTTTGCTGCTCCTAGTTTAGCAGACGTTTACAATCCTTGAGGCCCATAAGGGTGACACGCCGCCTTGCATTTCGCCTGGATGATCATCCTTCAAAGACTGGGTAACCAATCGGTCTTCGACCTGGTGGCACTTGCCCCGTACACACCCCGGCCTTGGGTGCTTTAATGAACTGTCACACTAGAGGCATTCTTCTCCCGTTTCTCTTACAGGAACTGCGCCTCCTCCGAGGCCACTTGTGAACAAATAACCCCCGACCTATCCACGATAAGTCGCTGCGTTGTCTTTTTCGTTTTTCCGTGGCCGACGTATATTTGTCTTCCCGATAATAAACTCATATCTTTTTACTACCTGCGCTGTCGCATCTCATGTCTCTTACACCTGTACCGTCTGATTCCGCTTATTCTGAGATGCAAAGACTTTTAGACCGGAGTTTCCAATCAGCTGGACCGTGTGAGTTTAATCTTCCGTAATCCCCTTTCTTTATAACCGGGGAACCGACTTCTCTCTCTCGCTCGGTCGCCCGATGTGGTCGTCGTGGAGGTTGAAGCCGGCGTGGTCGTCGAGGCAACAATTGCGGTCATCGGGCGGTTGATGCATTGGGGCCGAAGATGACCGACGAGGCCAATCCGAGCACGAAATGTTCGTTGCTAGCGCCGGCACTTTTGGTGGGACTGAGTGGCGATGCCGCGAATCGGAGGCGCCTAATACTTGCCAGCAGTCATTTTGGCATTGGCGTTGGCGATCCAGTTTGCCTCGTAAATGGCTATGCCAGTCTTCACCTCTCTTCTCTAGGCCTATCTGTCCTGGGCGTGGTCCTCCCAGGTATCTGGATGGATATGCAATCGTTTAAGCGAGTTCTTCAATGTGTCCTTGTAGCGTTCTTTTGGTCCTCCCGGTTGGCGAGCACCGGTGTGCAAATCATCATAGAAGGGTTGCTTCGGTAGACGTGTATCTTCCATCCTCACGAAATAGCCGCTCCAACGTAGTTGCAGGTGTCTTAACATAGCGTGGCTGCCGAAGATTCCGGTCCGTTCTAGAACTTCCCTGTCGGGAATCCTGTCTTGCCATCTAAGCTTTAGTATTCGGCGAAGGCAGGTGAGATAGAAATGGCTGCTCTTCTTGGTATGGCTGAAGTAGACGATCCAGGTCTCCGCTCCGTAGAGAAGCGCCGTCAGGACGACAGCCTTGTATATCTTCAATTTGGTATTTTGTTGGAGGCCGTGGCGATTCCACACGGAGTTATGCAGCCGACCAAGGGCGTGGCTGGCTTTGGAGGTCCGGTTGTCCACTTTGTCGTCGATTCTGATGGCGCGTGACATTGCGCTGTCTAGGCAGTTGAAGTTATCCACGGTCTTCAGTTCGGTGCCGTTGGCCCGGATGCCAGGGACACAGTATGCAGCAGGTGATGCCTGTTGATTCATGATCACCGTCTTGTCCGTATTGATGGTCAGTTTGAAGTGAGCGCATCTGGAGACGATGTGATCCATGCTCCATTGCATGTCTTCTTCGGTCGTGCTGTTGAGTGCGCAGTCGTCAACAAACAGCAGACCGTGGATAGTAGTTGTGTTGAGACGCATCGGGTTCTGCATTCGCCGGCTGTTGAGAAGGTGGCCGTCGGTCCTGTGGTCGATATGGATCCGGGAGCGCTCATCACGACAGGCGTCCATCAGCATGGCAGAGAACATGAGACTGAAGAGGGTGGGCGCGAGTACGCGGTCCTGCCTCACTCAATTGGCCTCTGCGAATGCCTCGGAGAGTGCACCTTTGTCCGTGAAGCGCGCCACCATCCCATTGTGGAGCTGACGTACCATGTGTGTTAATCGTTCGGGACAGCCGAACGTCTGCATGATTCTCCAACGTCGTTCGCGATTTATCATGTCGAAGGCCCTCGCAAGATCCACGAAGGTGGTGTAGAGGTAGTTCCACATCGTCTGGCGCTTCTCTTGTAGCTGGCGGGTGTCAAACAGCATGTAGGTGGTATCCGCTGACGTCGGAAGTCACCCTGGCTTCCCGGCAAGAATCCTTATTCTGGGTGGTCGTTGAGGCGACTAAGGAGGATGCGGTCGAAGATCTTCTAGGCGATGTTGAGTAGCGAGATGCCCCTGGGACTGTCTCAGAGTCACTGGTTCAGCCTTACGCTTATACAGATAGACGATGGTTGCGTCCTGGAAATCCTGAGAGACCTGCCCGCAGTGCCACTTCTCCTGAAAATGCGCCGTCAGTCGATCCAACAGTCGGTGGTCGCCGTTCTTTTGGATTTCAACTGGGATCGCATCAGAGCCTGATGCTTTCCTGCTGGAGAGTTGCTGCACGATATGGATGGCTCCTGGAAGAGAGGGCGGGAGATCCAGACCGGTGTTGATTTCTGCTTCGGGGAGCCGGTCTATGGCGGCGTTGGTGACAGTTGAGGGACGGTTGTGGATGCTTCTGAAGTGTTCGGTACAGAGCGTCAGAATCTGCAACTCTTCCGTCAGAAGTGTTGATTTATCGGTTCCTTTCGTTTGGAGGCCGTAGATCGTCTTGATCGCAACGAGGAAATTCTTCGCGTTGTAACGGTTGCATATCTTTGGATCTCTTCGGCCTTGCGAACCATCCAGGTGCCCTGCATTTCTCGCAACCGTTACTGTGCTAGGCGGCGACATTAGTAGAAGACCGCTTTGTTCACATCTGTTGAGCGGTCAAGGTAGGCTACGTGCAGCCTCTTCTCGGTCAGCAGGTTATTGATGACGGCCTCACTTTCGTTAAACCCGTACTGGTGCTGGCGACATGCGCGGTCGAGGACAGCCAGGGCGGTATAGTGAACGGAGTCACATAGTCGGCACCATCGAGTCTCCACGAAGGCGTTTTCATCTGCTGCTGCAGTTCTTCCAGCCGCTGGGCTAGTTGGCTGCTGAAATGCAAACGGTGAGCAAGCAATGACAACAAAACGATATTCGGCTTACCTTGTGGCCTCCTGTGGGGTTGCGGACGGAGTCTCATTTTGAAGAGGACGAGGCGATGGTCGGTCCACCCGTCGGCACCCGGGATCGCCTTGGTCACCATCAAGTCCTGCCGATCTCGCCGCCTAACGAGAACATAGTCCAGCAGCTGCCCGCGCCGCGATCGCGAGCGCATCAAGGTGGCCCTCTCCAGCGTCAGAAGGCGGAAGAAGGCACTGTTCAGAATGAGCCAATGTTCTGCGCAAGTTCGCAGGAGGAGCAGGCCACTGTCAATGAAACCGCCGAGGTCATGGAGACCCAACATTCTTCTCCAGACATGGTCTGTGCCGACGCAGACATTGTTCTTATTTACTAGTTCGTAACTGTTTGGATACTGATATCTGCTTTCCCTCGATAGCCTACTGACTATGCCCAACTAATGGGTTTATCACTTACAAACCGATGAAGCCTGTATATGCTGTTGTGGACGTGTCACAAATGTCTTAACTCAGGCGTGTACCGGTCTGATGAGGCATGCATATTGGCGGACAACCAAAGTGCACTGCAAACAAGGATTTCAATTCAGCTTATTCGTAGACAGTGTGGTTCTCCTTTTGGAGTTTTCTTCATTCATCTCCTAAGCTAGTTTTGACCCTGATTTTGACGGTCAGCGTGTATCCGATATTCACGTATTAGGATTTTGAACGCTGCGACCTGTCACCGAGCGGATCAAATGATCGCGGACACTTTTGTGAAGGCTTCACATTAACAGCATGAGAATCAACGTTTTGAAAAGTAAACATGTTTTTTAACGGTCTTTATGTTGACGCATTTCATGTGAAATCAGTAGCTGTGTTTGCGTTTTTGTTGTCCTGAGAAAAAGCTACTCTTTCAATTGTTAGCATGCGTGCGTGTTTGTTTGTTTCTCCTTGTGAGAATATCTCAATGACAACAATATAAACAACTGCAAAATGTAAACCGCAAGGACATAAATGCCATCAGAAACGGAAAGAGAGAATGGAACATCAATTTCTGACTTATTTTCCACAACAAACTAACTATACCCATATCTCGAACTGTGAGAGGAGTCCATATTTGAATCCGGATCACCTTTCCAGAATGAAATATGAGCAATTCCGTTTTGGCTTGGAGATCCATTCTAGAGCTCTCGCAGGTAGCCACAAAGAAGCTTGTTGATTGTAACATCCCTCAACGCACGACTGGATCTGAGCCTGTACACGTGTCTCTCCTCCAGGGTGATATGGGTGCGAATGTCTATCGTGTCAGATTCCCCCAGCTTGTTGAGTTGTCTGGGTGATTACGGAGTCTATGGAAGTCCGTGATTGTTTGTCGCCAAGGGTAAATGTGCGGATATCGTGATCATACGACTCCTAGAATAGCTTGGAGCGTTAAATATCCGAAAAGCATAAAGGCCACTCAGGCCGCTGCGAGCTGGCGGGCTGCTCGTGTATTCATCCATCATGCATACTGACCTTGATGTGCTCGTTGGATGTGCTGGTCTTTCATTTCAACCAGCATTCGTTAACTGCCGACTGCGCAGGCTCACTCACTCAAGGGTGTTCAGAAAAGAAAGATACAATGAGTTCAGAGTTAGAAGCATTGTGCTGACGCTCATCGCAACCAACAAAAACATATGGTGCCAATACAAACGAGAGGCAGGATTCTAGGACGCAGTTGACAAAAAGATTTGATCTCCAGAGCAGAACTTTCATTTGTCCTAATTTTCGGATTCACATCTGCACCCATCATCGAAGATTGCAGCAATAGATTGCATGCGCAAAGGCTTCAGTGACTATTGGATGTAAGTCAAATCCAACCACATGCCTATCAGGAGTGGCACTCCCGCATTCATCGCAGATGCTTATACCTGGCGCAATGATTATTTGGTCGCTCACATCCGGATGGTTATTTGTCGATATTTTCCTACCAGTGTTGGCCATTGGCGTGATAATTACTCAGCAATTTCACTCGCCTATAATGCCACTGGAAGTATTGCCCGCCCGTACGCCCATGGTTGGCCAATTATTCTGTAGAGGCCAAGTCCTAGCTCTGAATTTTGAGAGGGGGTTGGTTGTCGTGTTTGGTGATTGACTGAGCGAAGGAAAATTATAGATTAAGCTACTCAAAGCTGACCCGGATTCCGTCACTTGCGGGAGTTTCGGTCTTGTCAAACTTGAAGAAGTGGCGGGGTCCCGTCTAATGAGCCGCGACTTGGCATTTGACGCTATTACTGCTCACCGTTGCTGTGTGTTCGTTCATCAGCGCTCAGAGTGATCCCTGTTTGCCCCATGTATTCGCTCTGTCCGCAACTGTACCAGATGCGACAAACAATTGCAGACTTTTTCTACTGTGGCAGTGGATTTTCCAGACTCATCACTCGATCCGTTATGGCTGCCTCCGGTCTGTCTGCAGGCCTTACTCCAAATAGCCGGAAAAGGGACTGACGACTCGCCAAAATTGTGGTCGGGGTGGTTTGGTCTCTGGTCTCTACATGCACAGTTTGGCGAGGTTCTTTGAGTAGCCATGCGCCCTGATCACCCACCAAAGGTGTTGCAATTCGGTGACGTTGTCTTCCTGTTCACTGCAGTGCGTCTCAACATGTCGATGTAGCGCCCTTACAAAACTGCATATGTCGCCGATTGGACAGTTACTGTTAAAGCTCAGTGCATTGGTTGCATTCCTCGCTTTTCCAAATATTTTCGCTCTTTGGTTATCACAATCCTTGTGGCTGACAGCAAAAGCAGGTAAGACCATCGTGGGTTGCATATTCGAAGAGACGGTGTTCTTTGAATGGCAACTCTCAGATCCCGTTTGGTGATGACGAATTTATTCACACATTGAACACGGAATTTCGGTACTGGAAGAGCAGTTACTCAGAATGCCGCAAGACCATTTCCGTGGAGTCCTGAGATCGGTGAACCGATTGACATGCTTTTTACCTGTTTGTCAGTCTTTTCGTGGAACGTCAGGCAGGTTTTGGGACCGAACCTTGGGAGTTTGAGTATTTAGGCATGTATAAGGCGATTCTGCGTTCCATTATATTTTTTTGCAGAAGTTGTTCGATAGTCCCAAATGACGGATCCTGGGGGACAGAAATAAAGTGTGTGGAGGCATCAAAAGATACCATGACCCTATCCGGCAGGAGCCCTGTCCCTTTAAGTTCTTCCGACAACTGTGCTGACAAGCTGACTGTGGTATCTGAACAAATCGCCAGAGATCTTAGACGCCGAGACAGTTACTCTGCCAGTTCGTAAGCTGGAGTGTATTTGAGTGATACGATGGGCTGGAGACGATCACCCATTTTGTGAGCCTTGAGAAGGTCACAGAATTAAGCCAAGGCCGTTTATTGGGCTGTAACCATGCGTTGGTTCTATTGGCGGCATTGAACCTGAGTTTTCCGCTACCAAATAGTTCGCGTTTATTTAACGACGACGCTTCGAGGGTGCTGGATCCATGTGGCATATTGGACTTCTGATCCTTGTTGCTGTTCCCACTGGTCAGCTGGCGTGCAAATCCGAAACGCCGGGCGACTAAAATTCTCGTTTTAGTTATCGAGACTCCATCCTCCCAGAGTCACATGGTGATGCAAGTATTTTTTCAGCCACTTGTTTTGGTTATATCTGTCGTGCTACTCTTTTGCAAGGGTGATAACTTTATGACGACTAATCAAGTGACTGATCTAGACCGTTTAGTGATCAATGTAAACCTGCAAGTATTAGAGAACGAGGAAAGTTGGGATATACTTTACCGCTACTGCATGTGAGGCGGATTTACAAAAACGAGAAAACTGTCTAAAGCGAGGTCAACATAATTATAATCTGTAGAAGGCTTTGCTGGTGACTGACATTCCGGTGCCGTCCACCTTCGTTCAACTTTCTGCTGCGTTACGACTTTCGACTTTCATTGTGAACGCTTCCAGGTACGTTAACTTTATAGGCTGAACGACTACAGCATATTCATACGCCACTAAGTCAATCTTTGTTCTCCTTGCCCCATGTAACGCAATATACTACTTGCACTCCAAACGCTCTAACTTGACACCACAAGTCCATAACTGCAGAGGAAGGATATGACATGAAAATACGACTCATAAAACTTTATAAAAACCGTTCTCACAAGCACCGTATGCAACCGAAGGCATTTTTGGAAGTGCAACTTCCACTGCAGCGCAAAATTCCAGCCTCGGTCCTCTTTACTAAAAATGAAGGAATTCGGCAAATGTATGCCTGAACTCATGCATGGTATCGCTGCCGACGTCGACCGCTAACCGAGGCATCTTGCCGATTATTTTTAATCAAAGAGAATTCTTGTGGCAGTCCGCTATTGAGAGCATTGGCACGGGCGTGTCTTGACTGACAGCGGAGCAAGGTCCAGCGGCACAAAAAGGCTTCCATCGACGCCTTCCCCGACCCCGATGCAAGGTTCAGCCATGACCACCTGGATATTGTAGGTCCACTTCCTCTGTACAGTGGTTGTTCCTATCTTCTCATATGTGTGGATCGATTCACCCGGTGGCCGAAAGCCATACCCCTGCCCGATGCTGAGACTTCAACGGTGGTCAAGGTCTTCCACAGTTATTGGGTTACAGTCTTCGGTACGCCTTCCATTATCACGACTGACCGCGGTGCCCAGTTTGGATCTAACCTCGTCCAGCCTTTCCCCTAATCTGTGGGCTGTATTCGCATTCGCACGACAACATATCACCCGACTGGTAACGGGATGAGCAAACGGCTTCACCGCCAGCTGAAGTCCTCCCTACGGGCCACAGACGATCTGAGGAATTGTACGGACTATCCCTCCTAATCCTGCTGGGCATCCTCTCGATTTTAAAGTAAGACCGCGACTGTTCCTCCGCCGAACTGGTGCTTGGCGTCAATGTCCGACCTCCCGGCCAGATGACCTCACCAACCCCTCACGGTGCGGTTTAGAATCCGACTAACCTCCTACACCGTCTCCCCCAATTCATACGGATCATTTCCCTCGCTCCGATCAGGCCATGGTTCTCTGAGTCGTGTCTCAAAAACAACTCGGAGACTTGCTCTCACGCCCGCTGCAGATACCGTTGAGTTCCCCGGCCACTGGAACCACTCTACTGCGGTCTCTTCTAGGTTGTATCTCGAGGGATAAAGAATGTTCCCATCCAGCGCGGAGCTCGCGAGAGGCCCGTGAGCGTGGACAGCTTCAAAGCTACTATCCCGGACATTCTTCCGGATGAGCACTGTGGTCTCTGTCTCCCTGTTTCTCCACCCTCCCCCTACCCTTACATCCCATCTACTCTCTGTTCCTCCATGTCCGCTGTCATTTACTGCAACTTCCTTACCAATCTTCAACCACCCAGCTGCAGGACGTACTCAC